GGGTGCATGTTAACGTTGAGATGGACAGGTCGTTGGACAGGTAGTTGCGTTTATCTCTATCCATTTGAATATTCGACTCGAAACTATTATGATGAAGTGACGGTGACGATATTCAATTAAAACAAAATTTTCATAGTACGGCACTCATCCTTGAACTATTTCAACAAAGCAGCCGAGAAATCATACATACCGGTTTGACCTACGCGTATTATCGCATCCCATCCCTTAGCGATCGCGTTCCTATTGCAGCCCGACTGCTCGAAGATATCAGTAATCACTTTGTAGAAGGCTCCCCAATCAACACCACCACCTTTGAAATACATCATAGGCGCGGACGAAGCCCATGACCTACAGTTATTCATTTTCACTCTTTTTCTCAGAAAATCTCACTCAATTTATACAAGTGAATGTTCCTATAAAACCCAACTGTAGCTATTGCAAAAATTTACAAAACAATTCAAAACTCCAGGAACAAATAGTGCACATCTTCAGAAAACTAACCCGGCAACGATATGAGGATATTTCATACGGAACCACGCGGCGAGCATTCCACCGTACGAACCTCCGAAGGCGATTACAGGCGTTTTCGGATCACAGTGGAAGACGTTCTTCTTCGCGTACGGTATCAGCTTTGCGTAATCGGCCAATGCTTGTGTTGTAGTCATATATCCAAGGTATGTTACATTCTTAAACAATACGCATGATTACGGTGCATCGCTAAAGAGCATTTAGAGCAATGCCAGTAATAGACAATGTCGATGCTTCCGCGACATTTCTTACAGCTGGCTCGATCATACATCTTTGAGGTGTGAAATGAGTGCATTCATTTGTAGTGGAAGTTTTTTCACATACCGTATAACTAAGGTTGCCGAACGGCATCGAAACGCCATAATAACGATGCTCGCCGAACAGGAGCGCAGCGTTGAATTTTATGGCCAAGTCGAACATTATTCCCTGCAAGTGAATGGCGTCACTTCCATTCGAAATCCCCAACAAAACAATTTTGGAATACTAAAAGATTGCTTTTTGCAGTAAAATTTTCGTTCAGTCGGAAGTCATTGCAGAAATGAGACGAAGAAACTGAACCGCATTCTCAGCAAATCCCTCGATTGCTCCTTCATTACCAGTGTAGAAAAAGATTGGTCCACCAGGCTTGTAATATGTATCATTGTACAGATATCTGGAATTGAATCCTTCGAAGAGCGGTTGTATGAAGTAAGGTAATGTCTGAATCTCTTCTAAACATGCCACGAATGGTGATTTTGAATGGTATGATTCCGAATATTGTTGTTAATATCGACAATGCTGCAGTCAAACACCTCACCGCTGCAGTCAGTCTCGTCACTTCGCGAACCGTTCAAAGTATAAGTGTCGTTTTCCATCCTATTCAAGTTATTTCTTCAATGATCTGTGCTTTTTTCGGATGCTTACGTGTGTGCAAGTCGTGATGAGCACCGAGTTCTATAGCAATCGCAATCATGCCGGGTTTTTCAACCAAGGGTGCTCGCTCTCCTAAGAGGTGCGAGC